GTTAATGTTATTATGCAAAGAGTTTATAGTTTATGCAGTAATAAAAAGGTTAAATGCTGCCTCTAGTTAACACATAGATGTAATGTATACCCCTTTTGCACATTACTTAACATATTATTGTGCAGCATCCTTGTCCTTTAAGTTAATTATATAAAAGTAGCTTACTTATTTCTTCTAAGTAAGAACTACTATGTTGTGCGTAAGTTTAATTTTTTTACTGTTAAACTTAATAAGCTGCTTTTTTGCTAGAATAGTCTTGCCTTTTATATAGAACTTTGCCTTCTGTAGTTTCTCTTCTTCTTTTTACGTAAAATCTTTTATTATAATGCTTAAGGTGTTATATAAATGCTTCTAGTTATTTCTAGAGCCTATGTTGTGCATATAGTGCATATTTACCTAACCTTCTAGAATATTTAGAAAGATGTCTGTGTACTAAGTTTCCTAGATATTTAGCTATTAATATAGATTAATAAAGATCCTTATTTTATTTATAAAGATGTTATATAGTTAACTTATATAGTTATTATTTTTTTTTTATGCCTTTTAAAATTATATAATCTTATTTGCTAAAAGTTTTTCTTTAGCAGTTTCTCTCTAGGGTAGAAGTTTATACAGGTTGTGATGTAGTATAGATTGTGCAGGTGGTATCAGTGGTGCATACACTACTGCAGGCGGTGGTGTGTACGATTGAGGGTGTGGAGCAGGCGTTAGGTAGGGTAGCATGTATTGTTTGTACAGTAATTAGTGTAGTGCTAGCTAAGGTGTAGAAGCAGGTAATGCTAGTATGTTTAGTGTTAATAGTAGCATTATGTTTAGTCTGCTTCTATGCAGAGCCTTATATAGTAATAAAGGTTATGTATAAAGCTTTTCTAGTGCAATTGCCTTTTCTTATGCTATATTATACAGCTTCTAGGCTTAGGTACTTTTAGTGCCTAGCTATAGTGTAATTCCCTTGTCCTCTAGCACTTATATAAGCTCCCTTTTAAACACGCAGCTAAGTGCTAAGAAGTCTTATAGTGTCTATCTTTTAAAATTCTTTATGTACACACTTAAAAAAGTAGCGCCCTTTTAAGTTATTATATGTAGATTAGTAATTATGTAACTTATGTATAATTAAGTCTATAGGCTTATTAGAGCCTTTAACATGTTAATCTTGTTATTTTAGTACTCTAGGCTAGTCTTATTCTGTAGTGTTGCCTTTAATATCTCTATGTCCTTTATAAGTTATTTATATAATAAAAATTATTTCTTATTTTTTTTATTATTACATAGAGTTGTTAGTTGCTAATAGAATTTTATTATAATAGTATAGTTAATTACTTTTCTAGTAAATTGCGCAGGTACTGCTGTTATCTAGCTACTAAGTTATGCAGCTTTAATAGCTTTAGTGTGCACCTTACACTATCTTCTTTTTACTTTGTACAGTAGCAGAGCTTACTGTATAATGCAAAGGATTAATGTGCTATTGTCTAGCTACTAGGTTATGCAGCTTTAGTAGCTTTAGTGTGCGTCTTACACTATCTTCTCTTTACTTTATATAGTAGCAGAGCTTGCTATATAATGTAAAGGATTAATCTGCTATCCTAAGAAATAAGTAACTAAATAAAGTACTTTATAAAGTGTAAGTACTTTACTATTACTTTTTCTAAGAGATAAATAATAAAATAAAGTACTTTATAAAGTGTAAGTACTTTATTATTACTTTTACTAATTTACAGTTAATTAAATTAACTACTAATTAGTGTTAAATAGGCTCTAACAGCTAGCTGCTTATAGTATAAGCACTTAAGTAGTAAGAGTAAGAGTAGTGTACAGTGTGCATAGTGTATAAAGTAGGTAAAGTAAGAGCAACATGTTTCTAGTTTTATTACTCTTGTCTTTCCTCTGTACAGAGGAAAAGGGGGATATCTAAATGTTCGCGCACAGAGGTTCGCGCACAAGCATCATGTGACATTAATACGTGATCCTGCCCGTGCGCGATCGTTCGTATCCAGGCCGCGACGCTGCTGCTGCGTACAGACAGTTCCTTTTTATTAAAAGTTTAAAAAGAAGTGTTTTTTTAAAAAACCCTCTTACTAAAATAGCTAGGCAATAAAAGTGTTAAATGTATTACTTACTTTTTACTCTATATTTTAAAAGTAATAGTAGTTTTTATACTATATTAGAAAAGAATTCTAGGTAAGCTTACATACTTTAGTTTAAAGCTAAGCCTAAGTTTTAATAGTGCCTTTATTAATAGCACAACTAATTAAGTTCTTATAAACTTTAAACTAAATTTAGTTAATAATCTATTAAGTTTAAGTAGTAAAGTTATTTAAAAAGTCTATATATTTCTAGATACTGTTTATATTTCTTACTTAAGTGTCTACTTACTATAGAGTTAGAGACTTCTTTAAAAAGCTAAGCTTTAAAGAGGCCTTAATCTTAAATAGCTAACTTAGAGTTTTATTTAGGCTAGCTTAGGATTAAAGTTAATCTAGAGTAGTTCTAAAAAATAAGCTAAAAGTTATAAAAGTAATTTAGGCCTATTTATAAGCTTAACTAATTTTAGCTTTTAAAGCTCTTTTAGCTTTAAGCTAAAAAGCTTTTATAAGAAGTAACTATATAAACACTTTATTAGTTAAAAGTTGCACTAAAACAGCAGTAGAACTAGTTTAGGCCTGCTTTAAAAGAGTACTGCAGCGTATTGCGTTTGCCCCTGTTGCTAACAGTTGCTGTAAGTAGCCTATAAAAAGCTAACTAGTAGTCCTTAGGGTCTTAAAACTTAAGGGGCTTAGTGTAATAAGAGAGTTATTTAATTTTTATTTAGTGTAACCTAAAAAGTTTCTAGGTTTAGTCTAACTATGTCTCTAAAAGTTTCTAAAGTCTTACTTATCTCTTAACTTAAAAACTTAGTGTTTTTTATTTTCTACTTTTTATACTTACTAATTTAGTAGAATTTAGTTAAAGCGCTAGAACATAAGGTGCTTAAGGAGTTAAGCACTAGGGTTGTTATAGGGCGTCTTTAGAACAGCCTTAGAAGGGGTAGTAGCTGTGGCCCTGCTTTTACGTGTGCAACTGCTGTTAGCTATTATTATTATAGCTCTTTAATTAAAATAGAGCTTAAGGAGCAGTAGTAGAGGTAGCCTTCTGTTCTTTAAACTAACTGCGTCTCTGTAGGAGAGTATAAAGGATTTAAATTATAAGAGCACTGTAAAGCAGAAAGCGTAAAGCGCAGAAGGGGGTATAGGATAGTATTAATAGACAAATCCTTAAGAAGACTTAGGGGTTTGTAAGAGGATATATATATATGTGCTGGGGCACGTGACGGGACGTCATGTGCCCAAGGCTGGGCCGAGGGCTCTCCGGGGAGAGTCCGAGGCATGTCCAAGTTGACCGTGACACTCTATCTACTTAGGCTTTTCTATAAAGGTGTTATATATACATAGATAGCTACTTACTTTTTTAAAAAGTTTTAAGTTTATATTACTTTTTATATAATTAAGTAGTAGTTTTAAATATAAAATATAAAGTAACGTACTTTACAGGCAAGTTGCTTACACACCTAATGTAACGGCGCAGGCAAGACAATGGGTCCGAATGCGGTATGAATCCACTCAGAGGCATATGGGAGTGCGT